CTGCTGGGCAAAAGAAGGCACATAATATTAAGCCCTGAAAGACTGTATTCAGGCAAGCAGTGGTGCAGAAAAGAACCTGAGCTTTGTGGCTTGCTTATCATGAGTATCTTAATATGAATTTCTGGTACACTGCACTGTTCAAAGAAGTGAATGTCGATAAATTAATACGACAACATGCAGGAAAAAAGAGGGAGATGGTCTGGCTTTTTATATATACCCCAGTGCACTTGTGCACAGGTGGGAGGTCAAAGGAAGGAAGCAAAAATAATCACAGGATTAAAAACAAACAGAGAAACCAACAACTGCCTGGGTTTAGGAGCTTTGTTTTTCCATTTAATGGCACAGAGGTTGAGAGTTGTCATGTCTATATAAAAATACCTATCTATAGATAGACACATACTGCATATGCAAATATATATACAGGTGTAAAAGAGGTCTGGTGGTTTAACAAGAACCAAGAGGGTATCAGGCAGATTCAACCTTAAGATCAGAAGCAGTGCTGCAGTTAAATTAGTAGTGAAACTTTAGGAAAGGAGAGCTGGTGGAACAGTTTATAATCTTTAAAGATAAAATTAGATACTACATTTTGTAAGATGTTCTTTAGTCAAACTTCTGGGAACAATTCAGCAGGTTTTATAGAGAGTATAGCTGAATGACTGCAGTAGTTGCTTCAGGCTCTAGAATATGTAAATCTGTAAACAGTATTGAAAAACTCCAGATATTCAGTTTGTTTCAGAAGGACAAGTCCAGTGTTTTTTCCAGGGCCAGTGTTGTCTCCAGGTTAGCATGGCTTTATGTTATGATTTAATTGCATTTTATTGTTTCTCTATGTTATTATTATGCACAGCAGTTTAAACATTCTAAGCAGAGATACTGGGTTTCAATTTTATATATACATGGGATTTATTTGGATGATTCCACATATTTTTAATTGAAGAACAGGTGTTCCCTGTAAGCTAAATGGGTATCCACTTACCCTGGTTTTATATAGAGAATATATTAAACTTTGCAGTGTGTATGTTTGTTTTCATTTTAGCTTTCATTCAGGAAGACTATTACTGATAAAAATCTTTGTTTCAAACACACGGAGTAGAAGTGCTTAGCTGCAATTCAGTTTGTGAAGTGTTTCTGTTACAGTGTTGTCACTTTTATAGCACTCCAGTGAGGGGCAAAGAGAGGACTTTTCAAAACACGAATTTTGACTTCAGACTTGAGCCTCTTACTACCTTATTTTCTAAAAGTTATTTCAAATATAGATGTGATAAAGCTTTCTTGAAGCTTGATGCTTTTACCTCTATATTCATAATGTTGTAGTTCTGCATTGCCAGGTACCAGCCATTAGATCTGTTCAGAAATTGCAGCTCACTCTCTGGGGGGCTACAGAGCAGCCTTCCCTATCTTGTTTGTTTTTAACGAATTGACATTGACTTGTAATTGCATGGGAGAATTTTTGCCTTGCATCTGGTTGGATGTTAGATGTTAGATTAGGTCTTAATAAGAAATTCTTTATTAAGAGGGCAAGTGAAGCACTGGCACAGGTTGCCCAGAGAAGTTGTGATTGCTCTATCCCTGCAAAGCCAGACTGGATGGAGCTTGGAGCAGCCTGCTCTAGTGGGTGACATCCCTGCCCATGGCAGGTATTGGAACGATATTACCTTTAAGGTCTCCTCCAACCCAATCCACTCTGTGATTCTGTGAGTTGTGCCTGACTGACACAGAGCTCTCTGTACATCTCCAGTCTAGAAATCTGTCATTTCAGCATTTCCAGTTTGATCTTGGATGTTTTCGATTCAGTGCCAATGGGTAGCTTTAAGTGCTTGTTAAGTTGGTTTCTGGCACTTGGGCGTTCAGATTCTGCATGGTGGAGGAGCTGTGGTGGGCTTTGTGCACCAGTTTGGTGCGTGCTTCTGAAAGGTACAGCCATGGGGAAGAGGGTGCAGGTGTTTTTGAGGACAGAGAGGGGACATCTGTCTTGATACAACTTTCTAGAATATTAGAGTTCTGGTTTGCCTTCCAAAAATATCATCTGGGCTTGGAGGCATTCCTAATCGGTGGCAGACGGAAGTCAGTATTGATCCATAGTCATTTGTGTTGGCTTTGGGAGAGAAATCACTGGGGATTGTGTATGCAGGCTGGCAGGGATCTCCTCTGGCTTGATGATCCAAGAGAGGTCAGGAGAGAAATGATTCAGCTATCCAGCTGAAGGAATTTTGGCATGCTGCTTGGGCTCAGGGATAAATACTAAATAGCTGCCTTATGCCTATCTGAGGAAAAGTCTTTCCAGATCCAATGTAGTGCGTTCCTCTTTTAGTGTGGTGGCTGTCAGGGTCTCAAACTTACAGCTGGGCAGTTCATGCATGGAAGGACTTGTTGCCTTCAGTTCTCCCTTAGAGGCTTATAAACATTAACCACCCAGAGGCTACTGATTTAGATAAGCACGCTATAAATTGACACTGCATGTAAATGAGCTACTGAGCTGTGTTGTGGTGATTAATGTAACTGTAATGGCACACATTATCTCCTAAAGTTATGGTAACCTGGGGAAATCACTTAAAGATAACCTGTTCTGTCTGTTCTCCTCAGGAGAGTATCTGCATTTTGGCTCCACATAGCTTATCTTTACTCCTAATGCAAAACAGAAAATTAAAGACAGCAAACTGCACACTAGGACCATATTCTAGCTTGCATTGCATTTACTCCTGCATGTTAATTTTCTTATGCAAAAATACCTGCTTTTGAGTTGCCTTGAGACTGGCATTTTTTAATAGGCACTCTCCAGAAATTAATATGAATTTTGTCCCAAGCTCAAGATCCAGCTGTCAGTGCTGGCACTTAATTAATTGTTGCTGAACCTCTCATACTTCTGTCATGCTGGTAAGGCCCTGGCACTAACTGCTTGAAGCTTGGTTTGTCTTAATTTTAGTCTTACAGGAATTTGTCTTTGTTTAGCTTTTCATTCTGAAAGTATGTACTTTCCCTTGCAGGTTTTGCTTGTGCCATAATTCAGTATTTGTTCCAGTTTCTAAACAAAACAGCTGATGAGTGATCTGTAGGTACAAGTTTTAATAATACATGTATAGTTAAATTTGCAGAAAATTTTCTGTCTTGTTTCAAATGAAATTTAAAGCAGAAAAGGGGGGAGAAAAAAAAAAGCTGCCTTTGGTTTTCTTAGTTTCTTATTTTTATCCAAATCCTGAGAGAGCTGGGATTTTTGACTGTGAAGCAGCAGCAAAAAATGCTTGAGTAAGTATTTTAGAATCCCAGATGTTTGGATTCAAGGTACATTTCCCACTTTTTACTTGGGAATTCTTTGGACTGTCTACTTTCTTCTGTGTTCTACCATAGAAACTCTGTCTTGCTAATTCTGATGACTCTCCTCCTCTCCCTGCATTTTCATATCAGGGACAGTAGAAGGAGGAGCTCAGGAATCCTTGAGCAAAGACAAACTGTAACGTGTGTTTATTCCTGGAATAGTTATTTGACCCCTCATGAGATTAGAAATGTCTCTTTGTGAGGGGGCTTCTGAGAAAAGTGAATGAGTTGGGGAAGAGGCTGGAGAAAGGAGAAAAAGATTTTCTAGCGAGTGCTGGCAGTCTCTGGGCTGGTGTGGGTACCGGGCAGGAGGAGTTCAGTCTTCATCAGCACAGGCTGGAGTAAGCGCTGTGGCTCTCCAGGCTGACAGCAGTGCTGAGCTTTACAGAGTGGGGCTCCTGTAGAGCCTGCAGGACTGGAACTGCAGTGGCACACACCCTCTTGTGGCAGGAAGGGACAAGTCCCAGCACAAACCAGTGTGGCCTCTTGTTTTCTGTGCTCACTGGTTTGCCTTGCTCACTCTTCTGTGTTCAGTGAACATCCCTCAGTCGGGTGCACCATGTGTGCTTTCCTGCACTTACCTCTTTCATCTTAACGTTTATGCAGTGCCTGAAGCTGTTCTGTTTGTCTTGCAAATTCTGAAGCTTCACCCCATTTAAATCAGGTTTTATCAGTATTTGGATTGTATTTAAACTGTGGGTTTTAAAGTGCCCTTTCTCACTAAGTTGCCAACTTACTGAAAATATGTCTTACAGACTAAAATATTTACAGGAGCAAAATAGCTGGAAAAATAAACAAGGGTGCTGAAGAACATACTAGTTTTGTGTCTTAAATAGCTTAGTTTGTCTGAACTACTATGAAGGGGTCATGTGTAGATTAGGGGATAACATGTTGCTTTTCCCAGCTGTTTGATTAACCAGCTTAGAGATGGGTCAAATGCGCAGGAGCAGAGCCCAAGAAAGGCACATCATCACCTTCCAAGTGCAGAGAGGCCCTATAGCATGTTTGCAGTTTATCAGATTTGCTGCATAATAAGCTGTGCACTCCATTCAGCACTCTAATTAACCCAGGAAAGCTCTCTGGCTCAGTCTTTGCTGATAGCATGAACCTCACAAAGCCAGGCAGTCTCACCAAAGTACCTCTAAATAAGATTAGCAAAGCGAGCCAGCCATGAAATAAAATGCAGGCTAACTGTCGAGCAAATACTATTATTTGCTTTCATTTAGTACCAAGTTCTGTATTTGGCATGAGGTGTCCAGGCATTTAATGTGTGAGTAGCACTGGCAACTCCTAACAAGTGCTGACAGATGAGACCTTAATCATTAATGTTTCTCTGTACAGACAGAAATAACCAAGTGCTGTATGACAACACTTATAAATACGAGTTGACAGTATTTCCTACAGCTCTTAAGTAGTCCTGGCTGCCATTGATGTCCATCAGGATTGGGAATTACGTGTTGGTGGGCTCCTCTGGAATGTGGTGGCAGATTGGGTAATGCTGAGATATCAGAGGAAAGGAGAAAAGCCAAAGCTGGTGGCAGGTTTGTAAAGTGACAAGTTCCTTAGCCCTGTTAGCTGTTGCTAAAGATCCTTGTCAGACAGCAGGAAAAAGAAATGGTGTTTAAGTGATGGAGGATCTATTACCTATTTGAAGAATGGATCTCATCCTCCTTTCTTTGCCTTTTCAGGTATCTTGCAATATCTTCAGAACTCTCCCGCCTAGTGACAGCAATGAATTTGATCCAGAAGAAGATGAGCCCACCTTGGAGGCATCATGGCCGCATTTACAGGTTTTTGATTGTTTACCTCAGAAGAAATTATTGTCATTGCTTTGTGTATCTAATAATTTTCTCAGCTTTTTTTTTAACCTGTGAATCAGAACTAGTCCGTGAGACACTAACATTTATTTATGCTGTTTATGACTCTAGTACGGTACCTACAGAGATGGGAGAGAACTTTGTGATATTTGCAAAATGTTAAAGCTTTCTTTCAAAATTACATTGATGGTGTCCCTCATAGTCCTGTTTTCCTTCATTGATTTAAAAATTATTTTGCTTTCTCAACTGCTTTGATGCACAAGTGTTTTTCAACAACTTCAGCAAGAGCATTGTGAGGATGACACTACTAGCAGTTTTGCTTTATTGAGGGTGGTTAATATTTGTACGAAAGTGCACAGGTGTTGACAGCTGATCAAAAAATGAATGAGGAGCTGTATCCCTATCTTAGTCCTCCTTCCTCTCCTCGAGTCAAGGTTTGCTCTCAGATGGTTGTAGCAGGATTCAAACTCACTTAGTAGCATCCCTTCCTCTGAATTTCGGTTGTCAAAACAAAGGATTTTGAGACCCCCACGTGGAATAACACTGCATCCAAGTCTGGAATTAATAGCACAAGAGAATTGTGCACCTGTTGGAGTGGGTCCAGAGAGGAGGGTGCAAAGATGATCAATCAGAGGGCTGGAGCACCTGTCCTGTGAGTGCAGACTGAGAGGGCTGGGGTTATTTATCTCCGGAGAAGAGAAGGCTCCAGGGAAACCTCATTCAGCTTTCCAGTACTTGAAAGGGAGCTTATGAGAAAAACAAGGGAGAGTGACTTTTTTACACGGTCAGATAGTGATCGGACAAGGAGAGATTCAGATCACACTTTATTAAGAAGTTCTTGTCTTTGGGAGGATGTGAGGCCCTGGCACAGGTTGGCCAGAGAAGCTGTGGCTGCCCCATCCCTGGGAGTGTTGAAGGCCGGGTTGGATGGGGCCCTGGTTGGATGAGCAGCCTGGTCTTGGGAAAGGTGTCCCTGGCCATGGCAGTGGGGCTATAATGAGGTGATCTCTAAGGTCCCTTCCAACCCAAACCATTCCATCATTCTATGATTGGTCCCTTCCAACCCAAACCATTCCATCATTCTATGATTTTGAATCAAGAACATAAACTAAACTGGAGAAGGCATCATTGATACTGATGCAGTAATTTCCTGTATAGAAAATACAGATGAAGGTCCTGTATGTGTTAGTTCAGGATAATGACTTACACCACTGGTAAGCTTACAAGAAGTTTGCTTGAGTAACCATTTTTGGAGTTTGTGAGTTTTTGTGAGCAAAGGAGCAAAATTGATCTATGCCTGAAATGAGGATTTGATTTTACAGTTGCATGCACAGTCCTGTGAGTGTTTCATTTCACTCTTTTGTGCTCTCTAATTCAGAATCTGTTGAAATGTAGGTTCATCCCTCATTTATATTTAAATTCCACAAAAATAAGAATCTTCAAAACTTCAAGGCACCTCTGAGGAGCTGTGCCTGCCTGGAAACAGCACATTCAGTCACATTGGTGCTGTGGTTCAGAAAGTCATTACTTGCATGGAAATGATGGAATTTCTTATCCAGTGGATGGCTTATCATTGCCAAGAAGAAATTTACTAAAGTATTAGTAAAAAGTCAATGGAATTGATTTCCTGATGATTTAATGTTGGTGTTATGTAAGCTGTCACTTTTCCCACAGCTTCTTTCTAAACGTCTCTCCTGCTTTTTGATTTCCTATTGCTCCCTTTGAGAAGTCAGAGAACGCTGTTATAAAGTACCAGCAGCAGTTTTGCAGCATATTGCTGTCATGGAAAATAATTTAAAACGATTTTAAAATGTAATTTTTAAGCTTCCTTTTTCATTTCAGTATCAATATTCATACTCACTAAAGACAAAAAGGTAAAAGTTTTCAATGGCTGCTCTTTATGAAAAGGTTCTGCAAAGACAATGGCTGGCTGGCAGCTCATTATCAGTGACAGATCAGAGTTGCTGTCTTAGGAGTCCACAGCAGTCTCTGTTTCACTTCACTTCCTTGCTTCCTGGTTTTTATACTCTTCTTTTTCTCCACTAAATGAAAAGTCTTGCTGTCCCACTGAAGAGTTTAGGTAGAGATGGAATTGCATGAAAATAAGCAGATTTTCTCCAGCCCTGAGGCTAATCTTTACAATAAGTTAGGAACTTCTGAATAAATTCTGGTTTGTATTATTCTTCTGTGTTTCAAGTTGTACTAGAACACTACTCTAAGCAGTTTCTAATTTAATTTAAATATTTCCAACTGTTTCACCAACCCCTTCGGAATTGTAATGTCTGTATTTGATGTGACTTCAGCAGTTCAGAGGGCAGTTTAAATGTGCTTCCCAATTACTCTAGGAAGCTTTACAAGATGATAACAAGCATTACAAGATGGCAGTGCCTGTTCTTGGTGATGAAATGTTTTTGACTGGAGTTAAATAAGCAAAGGCAGCTTAAAAAGCTAATGTAATTAATTTTAACTAAAAGGTGGCAATTCGATAAAGGAGAAGAATATTTTCCATTTCTTTTAACCTGTTGTACTGGGGAAAAATAAGCATTTAATCTTCTAACAAAATAACTTGGGGAGATACTAAAAATATAAAGATTAATCAAGTCATAAACTAAACTGTGTTTTGTTTATTTTTTCTTTTGCAGCTTGTATATGAGTTTTTCATACGATTTTTGGAAAGCCAAGAATTTCAGCCCAGCATTGCCAAAAAGTACATAGATCAGAAATTTGTATTGCAGGTAAGCTAGTGTGTTTTCTTTAAGGCTTAGTGTTGCTTTTGGGGGGGGGGAAAAAGTCCTGTAAAAAGATCTTGTCTAGAATTTGAAAGTGTAACTTCATTTGCAACAGAAAAAGGCTAAATCAGCATCTACAATGAAAGTTTTCAATCTATGGAGGTAGTGGAAAAAGGTGTGTGTGTTTATATGTCAGTCTCTGTTGCTATAGATACATAAAATAGATGGTTTGGATCCAGTTTCAATACTTCAATCAAAATATTTGACTTACTGGTTTTGAGAGGGAGCTGAAACAGTAACTGTTAAAAAATGAAAAGTTTGCTACCAAGTAGTCTCAAAATGCTATTCCTTCTATCTAGAGAGAGTACTTAAACACCAGCTTTAATGTGTCTTAATATTGTTTATACATACAGAGGTGGTTGGAGGAAGTTGGTTCCTGGGATAAGCCAGGACACTCCACATCTTTTGTCTTCAGTTTTGAGAACAGGCCTGTATTGGGCTTTCTTTTCCCTTTGTGAGTTTTTGTATAACTGCAAAGTCGGAAAGAATTTTGTGCTTGATGCTGTCTGTAGCTTGCTTTTGAAATTAGGAGAATTTAGAAAGATTCCTACTTGCAGGCTGATACCTGAATGAAAAACAAACTAGAGTTGACAGGAGATACTCAGCATTTCTGAAGACCTTTCTCTTGCCCCTTATCACTCATGGAGCTTTTATTTTTCTCCTGTAGTGCTCAGACAATAAAAATTTTGCTCTTACAGTTCATGTATGTTGTTTGGATGAAGAATACCTGAAAAATGTAGAGAAAAGAGCAGTTTCTGTCCTTGCATTCAAAGTTTCAAAGAAAGGAATTTAGTTTCCTTCTCATTATCACAAGACCTTTGTCATCCTACAAAAGCAATAGGATATACTTACATTTTTATTTTTTCCATCTCCTAAACACAAGAGCATTTTTCTTCTGGATCAAACCTCTGGTGGTTTCCTTTTTGTTCATCTCAGTATTGATTTGACAAGGAGGTGCACCAGTGTGTTCATCCAGTACCTGGTGGAGATAAAAGAATATGCATGATAAATCACTCCTGACAGGTTTTTCCAGGCTGGTTTTAGTTTGATTAGATAGAGCAGGATTGCATTAGGATGAATGCATGTGCTGTCCTTCAAAATGTAGTAAAAATAATTCTTAGATGCTCCTGTTCTTTGCTGATGAACTTGGTCATGACTGGCAACATCCCACTCACACCCTTTAAGACATTCAAAACTGTCAGTTTGGCACAGGAGAATGGGTCTAAACCATGGATTTAATTTTTTTTTTTTAATCCTGATAGTTTTCATTAAATCTACAAAATGGAAGAATAGTGTCTACTGAAAAGAGGGAATATGAGATTTTAAAACCTGTGTATCGGAAAAGATGATGTGACACTTAAGAGGTGAAAGGAGTTCCAAGGACTCCTGTGTTCTTGCCATGTGGTTTGGTGATGCACATTTTTATATTGCTGTGCACAGTGTCTCAATTTAAAATTCACATTTTTCTACAAAAAGTTCTATTCAGCCACACACACACACACATATATATACAAGTAAGTAGATATATTTCCCTGTGTGTTAATACTTTGTGGTGAGCTGTAGGAACTGGGGTGTCCTTCCACTTCCTATTGTGTTTGTTGTGTGTCAGGAGTAACTCCTGAGTATCTGCAATGGAGCTCCCTTACACAGGAAAGCAATTTGAGACTTAAGAACATCAAGCATTTTGGTGTTGTCATGACACTGACAATGCAGGTGGGACATAGAGTGTTTGGAATCAGCTTTGTCTCAAAATTAATTTTTAATTTGTTTTTTTTTAATGGACTTTTTTCAAACATTTTGCTTATTTACATACTTTTTTTTTTTTTTAAGTATAGCTATGTTTCTGGCTTTCAGCTGTATGTTTTAATAAAATACTGTATTTACCAGTGTAGCTGTTCATTTCTAAAACCTGCTTATGTACAGTTTGAAATGGTTGGCAGTGGTTGCTAAGAGACATACTATTCAAATATATCCACAAGTCTCTGTGTTATGTTGGTTGCTATTTTGGAAAATTAATTTCCCTTTTCTATGTATGTTTAGAATAGTCAACATAAAATATGGGAGTCTTGCAGCTTATCCATAAAAATAAGACTTTATTGTTAAAAACCTGATAACAAATTGGACATAGCAAAATAATTCTTTTTTTTAATGGGAGACTAAGTTTAGCAGTGTTTCCAGAGAGGATCTGCCTAAGAGAACTGGAAATATAAATACTTTTCTATCCAGTAAGAAAATGAAAAACATAAATGCTTCCAGCTGTTTGCTGTCTTAGGCTGAAATGTGCTATTTGGGGAAAGATGAGGTGACTATTTATTTATTTAAATCTAGAACTAATTGAACAAAGCAATGTATTTCTAACCTCTGGAGGGCAGCTGACAAGCCTCATACTTCCCTGATGAAATTCCTGCCAGGGATTCTTACTGCAAGGAAAATACAGTGAGGTCTCATTGTAAGCTGCAGAAATGTTCAAAACAATGAGGAAGAATGTGTGCATCAGTCCTAGAAAAAAATATTTTTTTTGATATTTAATGGATATTAGAAAAAAAAAAACCAAACCCAGACAGCCTAACAAATCAAATCAAATTTTTTCAATTTTTAATCAAATTTTTTCCTATCTTTTTTCACCTCAGAGGTTGTGTAGCATTTTAACAGAGATCAGGTGCAGCATGCATACACTGACATATTTACTTGTAATATGTATTTATACTTTATCTGTTTGTGAACCTAAGATAATTTTATTTTCTGCCACTCCTGTAATGATTTTCTGACAGCATCTTACCCATTTGTAAGACCTTTTTGACAAACTGTCTTTATTTCTCTTGCAAGACAGGTACTGGCTGACAGTTACATTCTTTTTTGTGCAAGACAGATACTGGTTGCTTATGATTATTAAAAATTACCTAAAATTACTGTTTTCTGCACATATGTAGCAGTTGCACAAAAAGTTGTGCTTTTTGCTTTTAAGTAAAGTTTACTTCTGAGTTAATTCCAAATATCCAGAATAGCCAATGTTGTGGTGTCACCAAAAAATGAAGAAGGTGGCTAATGTAAAGCTCATACTTTTGTGGCAGAGGATCCAAGGGGAGCAGAACAAAGATCTGCAGGTGATATTCCCGCTGCTCGTTTCATGCAGCTTCAGGTGTCAGTGTTTGGGATATATTTTGTGCAATAGCAGACACTAAAACACCTTCTCTTTGACTGAGTCTGACATAACCATTTTGCTGTTTAAGAGCTAATTAGTAAATGTGGGTTTTCTCCTTTGTTCATTGCTTTGTGTTGTTTTTTTAATTGGCATTGATAATGAAATCACCATTTTGTTCAAAGTGAAGGATTAATTCCCTCTGATGTTTTTTTGATTTGTGGCAATTGGTGGAGATCCTGTAACAGCAGATCCAGTGCTGGCATGGACTTCCCTGTTGAGTCTTTCCACAGCGTGAAGGCCATGCAATCACTAGGAAGGCTTAAGAGCTCATCATATAAATTACAAGCAATTAGAAAAATGTGACCTTGATACAATGTTGTGAGAACAGAGTATTAGAGCAAATGAGGATCTTCTGGTTCTGCAGAGCCAGGGAATGGTGGATGGTAAAAGGCAAACTATCTTATCATAGTAATCTGTGGGGAGAAGGAAGGCAGCATTTTGGAGCTAGTTAATCCCAAATTTATTATTCTGTGTTTTGTGGTGTTGTTCTGAGGTTCCAGCAAATTTTTTTTAACACTGGATATCTACTCCTTGGAAACCATGGATGTCACATTCTTTCATTCATGTCTTTGCATGAATTCAGTTTCATACAGAAGTCTGTGTGTCCTACTTGTCAAATGTCTCCTGTTTCACTTCTCTTTTTCCTTTAAACACAGCTGTTGGAGCTGTTTGACAGCGAAGACCCTCGAGAACGAGACTACCTAAAAACAGTCTTGCACAGAATTTATGGCAAGTTCCTGGGTCTTAGAGCATTTATCCGAAAACAGATTAATAATATTTTTCTACGGTAAGTTGTGGAAGAAGGTGCTTTTTGCTTAGGAACGCTTTAGGAAACTGATATATTGCTTATGTTTAACTTTTCTTTTTTTAGATTTGTTTATGAAACCGAACACTTCAATGGCGTAGCTGAACTGTTGGAAATTTTAGGAAGGTAAATGAGTCTTTATTTGTTATCTAACTCAGACTTCCCTTGTGGGTATAGTGTCAGATTTGGAAAAAGTATTATGATAATCCCTGGTTCTGAAAACAGATGTGTGCACATGCTCATCTTTAAGCCCATGTGCAAATCTCTGTCACATCTTTGCCAAGAATATATAACCACCTGCATGTTACAGCCAAAGTGTTGGATTGATTTTATGTGTATGAGTGCATTAAATACTGCACACTTCATCCTTACATGCCTGGAGGATTATTTTCTTCTGAGCACACTTAGCAGGGTGAATGTTTTGAGTGAGTCTAATTTTGGTAGGTTAATTACTCGAGACCCACCTTACTTACATGAATTTTCAGACCACATAGACAGTGTCTTATCTGTTTGGCAACAGGTTTGTGCAGCTGTTTATGTGATTATTCCTAATGGGAGCTGGATTGCTACCTAGATATGTAGTGCCCTGCTCATATAAAGCAGGACCAAAGTCAGCACCTGTTTACAAGCATTATTTGTAAACAGGTGCTGACTGCTAAATATATTTTAATCCAGAAAGTGCTTGTTCAGACCTCAGTATTGCTCTCTGTGATGATGACACTAACAAATATTTCTTTTCTAATTTCCAGTATTATCAATGGTTTTGCTTTACCTCTCAAGGCAGAGCATAAACAGTTTCTGGTGAAGGTGCTGATCCCTTTACACACTGTCAGGAGTTTATCACTCTTCCATGCACAGGTAGAAATTATGGAAATATTTTCTGTTCAATTATAATTATATGTATATTTTTTAAGGCTGCTTTCTAAATTTAACTACACGCACATGAAAAGTGGGGGAAATTCTAAATGTGGAAAAAATACAATAGATTTTTTTTCAAAATTAATTCAATATCCTTTGTGTGATAAATATCTAGCTTCTGTTCTGATTAGGTAATTAAAAGCATAACATTAATCTGTAATATCTTGGAAATTTTGTTTAGTAGTTAAGCTCTCTCTCTAAGTTTTCCTCTCTGCTCTTTTCTCATTCTCACAAGTTTGCCTTTCCCATTCTCTCTCCCAAGAGGATGTTTGGGTTTCCTTAGTCTTGTGCTGTCAAGGCTCTTCTTCACCCTGGCAACCTTCTGAATACCAATACCCACTGTTTTACATTTAATATTCTCCCTCAGTCATTCCTTAATACTGCATTTATGCTCTCATACATCTTTTTATACCTCCAGCTTACATGATGTAATTTTTCCTCTGGTAACTGCTACCTGTTGCCATTCTCTCTGATTTTCAAATAGTGCAGTATTTCTTATGGGGATAAAGCTCTGCTTTCTCAGTATGTTATTCCAGGTTTTAGCTATGTCGACTCATCTTGCAAGAATTCTCATGACTTTGCTATATAAAATTAGTAAAAAGGTACAGGGAGTAGCAGAAGCTTCAAAACACTGCTTGTATGACTGTATTTAGAATTCCAAGTTGTTCTGATTTTCATTTTATATGCTACTTTGTCACTCTGATTGTTCTTGTGAAGTGTACTCTTGTTTCTTATAAACTGAACTTTGAATGGATTTGCACAGTGCAAATGTGCATCTCAATCTAAAATTAGATGTAGTTTGAGAGAGCTGAATAGCATCTTGCCTTAAGTGTCTCTTTTTTTAAAAGTTGGGGTTTTGTGGTTTCTTTTAGAAGTGTTCTAATTTTGTTTTTATAAATTCTTACCTCCTCACAGCTGGCGTATTGCATAGTACAGTTTCTGGAGAAAGACCCCTCACTCACAGAACCAGTAAATATTTTTCTTTCATACTTCTTTTTTTCACTATGAATGGTTTGCCCTGTAGAGAGAAAAGTCAAAAATCTAACTTCTTTTTCCTTCTAATTTAGGTCATTAGAGGTTTAATGAAATTCTGGCCCAAAACCTGCAGTCAGAAAGAGGTAAGTGATATGCTTACAAGTGATATGCTTAGTATATTAAAAAAAAAAACAAAAACAACACAAAACTTGTTTTGCTCTAAAACATAACAAGCAGGGAATCTTTAAATAATTTGTGGTTGAGAGCACATGCTGTGGTGAATCTTGGTATTATTTCTTGTAGATGATTTTTCAATACTTTGGTTTTTTGAACAGTTTTGACTTGAAAAGTTTGATAACTGTGGTTTCTCTTCACAAAATAAGTCCTGGTACTTCTGCAGATAATTTTTTAGAAAGGAGGAAATAAACATGGTTAGGTTGGAAAACTCTGTTAGATTTGGAATTATTTATATTCGAAGGCAGTATTTTTCCAGTGAGGATGAAAGATACTTTATGTGGTGTTTACCTACTAAACATGTAAAATATGCAGTTAAATGTGCATATTTGCTTCAAATGCAAATCGGAGTTTCCCTAGTAAGGTTTTGTGAAACAGCAAAACTGTTACATTGTTATATTGTTAATTGTTATATTGAATATTGCTCTCAAGAATGAGAATACTAGGAGAATCTTCTTAGTTATGGAAGTGTAAGCTTTGGTTGTTCAGACCTTTGTATGAGACAAGGTTTTCAGCATAGATAAATACACAGTTATAATTCTGAATTTCATTCAAGATACTTTAAATGCAGCCTTGAAGAAGAAACTTGTCCTTGTTTTAAGGGACTGAGTCCAAAAGCTACCAATGGTAGAACTGTTGACATTTTTTGAGAGATGTCTCATTGAGCTAGTGAGGTTTCTATTTCTTCCTGAAGAATTTGAAGGTTACCAGTGTTCTGCAGAACAAGATGATTTGGGGGTTCTATATTCAATGCTTTCTTTTTTGTCTTTAGGTCATGTTCCTAGGAGAGCTGGAGGAAATCTTGGATGTAATTGAACCATCACAATTTGTCAAAATCCAGGAACCCTTGTTTAAACAAATTGCCAAGTGTGTCTCTAGCCCTCATTTTCAGGTCAGTGGTAGAGGTTATTGTTTATATAGGAATGTATAATTTCAGTTTCAAGCATAACTCCCACCCAAAATGTAGATATTATGTTTTAAAATACTTGTCTTCTGTGGAAGAGGATATATTGGGGTGGAAGGTTAGGTCTGAGCTCCATTAATAATTTGTTGGAGGTGTTTGGGGTTACAGCACAGAACTTGTCCTGAGCCCCTCACAAATCCTTAACCTGTGTCCAAGCAGACTTTGATCCCTTCTCACTGTGGGTGGCAGGTGCTGGCCTGATGGATTCAGAGGATGGATTTGCTCCCTGGTTTTGGTGCAGTATTGTGCAGTTCTTGTTTTCTTACTTGCTTCCTTCTAACCACCTAACCATGTGTCTGGTTCAAGGTGACACAAACTGTAGCCTGTTTTGATCACATTGTATAATGGGAGGAAGGACAATGAATGGGATGTAAATGGATATGTGAAGAGGATATAAAGTTCATGGTCTGTAATGTCTCCATCTTAAGGCTGGTGATCTGTCCTGGCACAAAGACAGATGTGACTTTTCAGCTCTTCCTTGGACTACATCTTTTTTTAAATCGTAATTCAGATCGGCATCCTCCTTCCTAACCCCCAGCTCCTCCCCAGGGTAATTACTGTCCTTGCTACCTTCCCCATGCTGAAGATTTCTCCTCTTTTCCAGCCCAGCTGCTGGGCCTTTCCCTCTCTCCTTCCACTGGTATTCCAGTGCTGCTGGGTTTTTTCCATCTGCACTCCTCCTTATTTTGAGGGAAAGGTTGATGGGAAGTCTCTCTCTGCTCTTCTTCCCCTCCTCAGCTGCAGGACTGATGCTGTGTCTGCACCCAGTCTTCAGTGAGCAATAACACATTGCTCAGGAAATAGAGAGTAAATGCTGTGGGATCAGAACTACAGGATAGCAACTTAATTCCATTCATGCATGTTATGCTACAGATTTGAATTTAATTCCCGAACTAGTCACTCCTGTTAGCTCATCTTTGTGGAGTTTCTCTGTGATTTGTTTTTCCTTCGGAAAATCACAAAATTACAGGTATCTGAATTCCTGTTAATATTTTATTTCTTTGACTCAAAGGTGGCTGAAAGAGCGCTGTATTATTGGAATAATGAATACATCATGAGTTTGATAGAAGAGAACTCAAACGTTATACTTCCCATCATGTTTTCCAGCCTTTACAGGATTTCTAAAGAGCACTGGAATCCGTAAGTTTGTGCATTTACACTTTATCTTGCCATTTGACATCACCCTGATAAACCTGTGAAATGTGTGCTGAAGAACATCTGAATGGGAGAGGAGATGCAGGCTCAAAGCTGCACTGAGCAAGTGCAACTCTGATAATGCCAATATTTATTAGTCTGCACTTGAGCTTGTCTCAGTGTTTTTAATTAGCTGGTATGTGTACAAAAATCACTACCTTGTGGGATAAAAATAGGCCTTCTCACAAGTTGGAAAAAAGAAGTAATTAAATGTTACATTGTTATTGAAGGAAAAATGTTGATCATCAAGTGTTTCTCCTACGCAGTTTTTTTTATAAATGGGTTGGCTCTGAAGCCTGATTGTAAATTGTCTAGAAGAATATTATTTGGCATTAATAAAGCTTTGTGGCTGTATCATCAACTGATACCTCTGGGAGACTTTTGGTGTTGGCATTTTTTTAAACATCCATGAAACATACAGACAGTATATTCTTAGGTTGGGTTGTTTTTTCTAAATTTATTTAGGTACAGCTGTTCTCTATGACTATAATTGAGTAGCTACTTTATATTGATAATTAGGCAATTTTATTTTAAACTGAATAACCTAGTAAAAAGTGTTTTCATGAAAGATTATATTACAGTTAGATGGCATATATCCTATATTTTAGTTGGGAAGTTTTTCTAAGTCAAGATGATTAGCATTTGGTAAACCCAGTATTTTTAATGAGCTGTGCTGTGCTCAGGTCCCAGTTGCTTTGAGATCTTACTGTAAAATGTTTCATCTTTTCAAACACTGGTCTTTTTGTTCTTTACCTAGTCAAAATCTGAAGTTTGTGTGCTTCCATGACAAATCTAAGGCTGCTGGAAAGCTTCTGTAACTTAACATTGGTCACAAAAGAAGTCTTTCCATGGCACAGGACTCCAACCTTTTATACCAGTCTCCAACTTTTCATATTATGCACTGGGATGCTTCTGGTAATGAGAATATTCCAGTATCCCAGTTCACAGAGTTTTCATACCCATAGAAATTTTGTTACGCGAGCCAGGTAAAGATAAATCTGAAATAAAGGAGATATTTAAAGATTTTTGTTTTTTTTATATTTATAAGAAAATATTTCATGTAGGCAACAAAAATGAAAGTTTATTTAAAGAGATGAGAGAGAGGAGGGTGCGTGGGAAATGGCACATAGTTTGTGTGCTGTAAGGATTAGCTCCAGAGGTTCCTGGCACTTGCACTGTTGATTCACTGCCTCCTGGCTGAAGAGCAGCTTCTTAAGCAGCCCTGGGTCTGAATATGACAGCCAGAGTAGTGGATCAGGAACTGTGAAAGGGAAAATGAATATGAACTGTATGAGCACAAGGAAATCACTCTTGAAATACAGCTTTGTATTTTGCATAGATGCACTGAATATTCAGCTTCATAGAAGAGTCATAAGGAAATATGAATCACTTTCATTCTGTGTTTGAATTCTATTCCTTCTGCCAGCACTGATGATTTGAATCTCTGAAGTTGCATTCAGAATTGCTCCACAGCATGAGAGAAGAGACTGTAGTTATATGTAATAGCTTTCTGTTGTTGCCTTTTACCCTAGAGTTTTGGCCTGCTCCATTTCAGTAGTCAGTAGGGACATGAAAGCTGATTCTCACCTTTAAGTATGTTAATCAAAAGTAGTTTCACTGAAATCGAAGAATTTACATAATCATACTTGCAGGAACAGAATTGGTCACAGAAAGGCTGTGAAGAGAAGACACTTTTTATTTCACGTTTGATTTCACCTGAAACTAATGGATTCCTTTCTTTCTTCTTTTTCCATGTTTCACAGGGCTATTGTGGCTTTAGTCTACAATGTGTTGAAGGCATTTATGGAAATGAACAGCACCATGTTTGACGAGCTGACAGCCACTTACAAGTCAGATCGTCAGCGGTAACTTTTTAAAGCTTTTTTTTGTCAGCTGTGCACACAGCCTGCAGTTTAGTTCTCCCCTTACACTCAGGTGCAATTGCATAATCTCAGACATAATAGACACTGCACCATTTCTGCCCTTTCCTGCTCGTTAGGCTTCTCATTGCAGGATGTGAGATTATGTGCAGGTTGTTCTTTAGCCTTTATTAAATACGGTATCCATTGCATTGCTTGGGAATCCACATTCCTCATGCAAATAATTTTTGACTCTGCATTCCAAAACACTTAAGTGTATCAAGATCTTCAATAATAAAAGGAAAACAAGGGTTTAAAGGTAAATTTGATTGAAGACCTTTTTTTTTAAAATAAAGTTACACTGAGGTTTGGAAAGAGACATGAGGGAAACCTGTAAGATTTGATTTTCCAAATTGCAGTTTGTAGGCTGGGTGTGATCTTAAAGCAAAGACACATCTCTCAGGCTTTTTATTTCTTATTCAGAGGTCCTGCTGTATCTGAGTCTTTCAGCATGCAGGATCCATTCAATACACCACTCACAGAGGCATTAGTTCAACTCCAGTGGCTTCTTGTCTTTTCTCCTATTTTCCCTAATCTTTATTTCTCCTTTACAATGCAGCATCTTTTCTCAAGAGTTTTACCTTATGCAAAGATTAGGTGAAAAAAATGAGGAAATTTCAGGAATTTTGAACAGTTTGCAACTTAATTTAAGTCATACTTTGGCTGTGACTCAGAGTTCTCCAATCAATGCAAAGGGCACTGCATGTCAGTAGAGGTTTTGAGGGCAGTCCAACCTGAAAGTCTCTTGGCTGTTGTAGTTTTTTTGACTTGTGTGACTAGAGTTACACTGACCTTTCATTCCACTTTGTTTTATAGCCCAAAAAATCTGCACATAACAGGCTAGTTCATTAATATGGTATTCTACTTTTAGAGATTTCTTTAGAGCAGTATTTAAACTAAGAAGCCAGATGTTCTTGATATGTATTGGTAAATAACTGCCAATCTCCTAGTGCAGTTGAGACAAAACTGTGTAGTTCCTTAGCGAAGAATTTTAGGATTGATCATCTAATCCAGCTATTCACAGTGGCAGCTTGGTGACCTAAATCACTTGGTGTTGCACTTTGCCCCTTAAGATGATAAATTTCTGTTCTGAACAGAATGCAGAGGTGTGTCCCATGTCTGGAAAATGGGGGAGGTTTAGTGGCTGAACTACACAAAGAATTTCTTCTGCACCTGCTGACATTGTATTTCTTACCATGGCTGGTGCTAACCATTTCATCATTTTTATTTAATTCTTATGATTTTAAAATCTGAATGTATAAACAAGGGTATTTACCTTAACGTTTCCAGAAAATCTTTAGCACCTTAATAAAACCACTTTTCTTTTCAAAAGGGTAGCTTTGATGCTACTTAAAGCTTGAGGAGAAATATGTTGAGATAGGTCAAATAGGTAAGTTGGATGAGGTGATCATCCTCTAGCAGACCTTTAGGTAAGCAGGCATGTATTTCCTAATGATTAGAAGATTAATATTGGTAAGTAGCCTGAAAATGTAAGGCTATTTCACTTATTCTTGTATTTGATTTTAAATACTTTCCAGTAACAATAGGCTCTTTTTTTTTTACCTTTTACTGTTCTTCAGGGATTTATCTGAAAGTTGTTTGTACTTTTTTATATGTTTAAAATCCTCTTGGGAAATCAAAATTCCAAACAAATGAGCCAGATGTTGGTATGTTGACTGAATCAAAGGATATAGGAATGTTTCTAATCCCTTGAAATACTTCTCAAGACTTCTGTAATGTGACTGGCAGAGAATCTGTGTATCTGTCATTGTTAGATTTCCATTTCATCTAAACCTACAAGGTGATGTCATAGAACTTGAAAGCATTTTGTGCCTTGCAGTCTCGATGAGATTTATTCACAGTAAGCTGTGGCAGAGACAGGAAATTTAGAAAGCAAACAATGCAGGTAAAGTAAATGTTAGGTTTGCTGTTTAATTTTCTCAAATCAGCTACTAAAGTCTCTTGTTAAAGCAAATGCTACATAGCTCTTGCAGCAATTTTTGTGTGGAAAAAGAGTAACTCACTGAACAAAAGGCACATCTTGTAGGTTGAACTTTGCCTTGGTTGGTGCCTGAGCTGTAGGGAAGCCAGTGGTCATTGTAAGTAAAAATAGCGACTCTAAAAGAATCAGGGAGTGGTTCTAGAAAGCCACTGTGATTTATAAGATTATTTATATCGTAAATAAGCATAAAAATCATTAAATAACTTAGTGAATAATGGAAATTTTTATAATCTTGACAGATTAGTTATGTAATAAAATTCCACTGAATTTTTTAATTCCTCATTGCAAATTAATGTCTTTGAACACTGTCACTTTGCTCAGCTTACGTTTTCATACTGCTTTGTTCAGTTACATTTTATGTAGGTAACAAAGAAATAAAAAAGAAAATATAAAAAAAAAGTCAAATATATGTTGGCAAGATTGCAGTTGTGTTCAAGAAAATTAGTGCAGCTAATTAATGTCAACTATATATTTTTTAACATAAATATTATACAGTCTTCTCTCCTGATAACTCTTTGTTTTATTTCATCTGTCAGTGAGAAGAAGAAAGAGAAAGAGCGTGAAGAACTGTGGAAAAAACTGGAGGATTTGGAATTAAAGAGAGGTCTTAGACGTGATGGAATAATTCCAACTTAACAAAAAAACAAAACAGCATTATTAACCTGTGGAGTCACACATTTATGTAGTAGAAGATGGAGCAACAGTTTTCTGTATTGTGCAACTTTACAGTAGATTTCACATTTGTTTCATTATTACAACAGCACTGTATATACCTGTCTCTAAGTAAAGGAAAAAAATAAGGACTTTAATCCAAAGTTTGGACAACAGATGGACTTCTCAGAACTTTGCAAACATAATCATTGTTTTAACCCTTCTTTAAAACCAGTCTTCAAAGATCTGTTGATGAAAATTGCAATGTCAGATTCCATTGTCAGGACCTGTTCCTTATTTATCGTTAGCAGAGAGTATAATACAACTTTCAAATGTGAACAATCTTAAAATTTAGCTTGTCTTTCTGCTAAACTGTTACGTGTATTTATAGTAAAAGAGAAAAAAGACTGTCATTTCCTTATGAGTTTGTGTAACATCCTCCTTCTCTGGATAACTTTACTGTAATTTGACTTTCTTTTCCTTTTGCACATCTTCATAAGTTGAATGTCCATTCAGATCAGGGCCATGAAAAACATTGGTCCTGAATAAAAGTTTTGTTTACTGGTGTGAGCATTTTTTTGGTACCAGGCTGTCTCTGGTGCTTCCTTAATTTGAACATTAGGAATTAAAAAACATGTAGGTGATAAACATAGTAGGAAAGGGAGCTTTGGATTTGTGCACCTATTTATTGCAAATCCAAATTAGAGTCCACAATCCTCGGACAAAAAAAAAAGGGCAGTGGTAACACCCTGGACTTCAAAACCTGACCAGTATTAGTGATACTGCATTGGACACACGTACCAGAGTTGGTTTAGAAACACTAATTGCTAAATTATTACAGTATGTTCTTATTGGACCATTTAGAAAGAATAAAGACACGTGTTAATAACACAAGTGTGAAATTGATCTCCAGTGGTCATGGATCTAATTGGAAACTGAGTTGAGATGGCAGTTTGGACAGTTTGGAGTTGTTGCCTTACTTTTTAATATGTATTTATAAAGTGTTCCAGCAAAAGAGGATGTAGCCTCTAAGAAACATACTCTAGTGTTTTTGTGGTTCTAGTACTATTACTCATCACAGTACCAGCCCTATGGTCTTAGCTGGAAAGGATTCTGGATAATACACTTCTGCATTCTCATCTGGATGCTCATTCCTAACTACTGTATTTGTTACCAAAAGTGGTTCTACAAATGCTACTGAAAAAAAATTCTGGAAATCCTAATGTTCTGAGTATTAATAATAAAGTTTAAAATGCTTTTATATCAAAGGTGCATTGTGACCAAATTGTTTAAAACAAAAGAGGAAAAAAAAATACAAAAAACAAAGAAGAGGGCTGTATTATAAGTATACATTATTGGCTATCTGCTTTGTATTTGAAAGTGGAATCTTACATCTTTGGTAGGTAAAATGCTGATAAGACTTATGTACAGTATATATTTAGCTAATGCAGTTGCATTATTCTATACCGGAAGGTATGTGTTTCAGGATTTTTCTCCAGGATGCTTTTGAACTGTTATAGACATATGACAACAGTGAATTGATAATCCTAAACCATCAATCCAGCAGTATTTACAGTATAAAAATGAATTGGTGTTCATGAGTCTTTGTGATAGTTGCAAACATGAATTATGACCTGTTGCCATTGATAGAAATACAGTATAAATACAAGCTTGTATATTTTTCTTCCTACCATTTAAATATACAGTAGAATTTGAAGTTCTCTTGTTTTCAGGCACCGAAAAAGGGTAAAAAAAGAATTCCCTCCTAGACTACTGACTGTTTCAGGATTATCAGGTCACAGTTTGTACTCCTGGGTCTGCACACACAAATGTTGTAAACTCAAGGTTTTGTAAGAACTTGACACTGTTAATTCTGGAAAAAAAAAAAGTAAAAAAGTGGAACTAGTCATACGCAACACCAAACACAACATGATTTTATGGGATTATTATGAGCTTCTTTTAAGAACATTGACTGGGACGCAATGTAAATTAGGCAGTTACTGTCATAGTTGAAACATTTTATTTTAAAGTGCTGAAGCAAAGGTGCAAGCTGAAATACTGAAGATTAAATAAATTTATAACAAATCATGTCCCTTAGCCCATTGATTTTGACAGTCTTTTATTTCTGTTACCAAAAAAACCCCACAAACCAACCAAACTTGCGAGTGTGATTTCTGTGTGAAATGATCATTTCACAGTGTGAAAGGGTGGACTCAAACTCATGCTCAAAGACTATGTTCCATTGTGAAAGCTGAGAAGGAACGGAGGAATACAACTTCATGTTTTTTACCTGGTGGAGTAAAACACAACAATGTGAAATTAGAAAAAGCACCTTGTCCTGTACTTAGAGTTTAGGTGAGTGTTGTTTGTTCGTAACTGTTTTTGGTTTTTCCATGTCATTCTGCTATTGATCATACAAAACTGACGAGAACCTGGTGGGTTGCAATATTTTGTGGCCTCTGCCGTGGGGAGTGTCTGACATTTCTAGATGATTTATCACTTCTGAGAAGGAATGTTCCTTTAAGGAGAAGGAGATGATGTGCTGTTGTTATGAAGTCACTTGACTCTAAAGGCTGGGTGATGCACCTGAAGAAGCACCTGCTGCCAGGATCCCGCGTGTGCCGCAGTCCCAGCGCAATGTCCGGCCCCGCAGGGCTCCTGCTGCTCCCGCTGGAGCTGCTGGAGGAGGAAGAGGAAGGCAGCCCGTGGGCCCAAGTCTGATCAGTGCGTCATAAATTACGCTTTTGTTTTCTTCTTGAGTTCCACAAACCGCCTTTGTTTGTGTCAGTGTTGTTCTTGACTGCTCGTCCGGCAGGCGTTGGGTGGTCCTGCGTGTCCGGGGCACATTGGTCTCAGGGGGAAGGGTTGAGCACTGTCTGCTCACAGGAAAGAGCTGCGAGGGCATTGGGTCGTGGGGATGTAACGACTGAACCAGTAAAGTTCCTCTCGTACACCCTGAATTGACCACACGTTAATTTCTTCATCTTGCACGTCTCCCTTACTGTTTCCCTTTCGTTGCTTTTGAGTGTTTTTTGTCTCTCTTCCAAAGGTTGGAATGCTTTAATTTAAAGTATTCTAATGCCATTGGAGCATTTGCTACCAGGGTTACAGTAAATTTAATCTTGGTTTTGTTAGCATAAGTAAAAGGGTTTAATTTATTTTTTTATCTGTTCTCATATATGGAAAAATCGAGGGTATTGGAGCTAAGAATTGCTTAAATGCAGCAGCTGTACTTAGATTATATGTGTGTAAGTACAGCCCTAGGCTCTCTCACTTGATGAAAAAGAAAATATCTTAGGAGCTCTAAAAAGCTCTTTATTGTTTTGTGAAGAGTGGGAAAGATGAGGTTCTTCTCCCTCCAAGTAAAGCTGACGTAACTTCCTTTTAGTTCTGTCTTTGAAAACAAAGATGCTCTTTTCTCTTAGTTGTGTGACACCACTATCCCAAAGCAGTTGCCCTTAAAGAAGACAAAAGTGATGATGCTCAAGGTTGAAGAATGTTTTTATTTACTTGTAGATTTTAAAATTTGGCTCATGAGCTTCCCTTAGCAGCTCTGGAGTGAGCCATGAATTAGTTTTTTCTAGTTGGTATGCGCAGCAGATCTTATGTAGCCCAGTTTTCCATTTTGAACTCGATGGAACAACATCTTGAAACAGAATGGAACTACTTTTGGTTGGAAACTTTTATCCAAGTGTTGCTTCCCATCCACAGAAGCGTGCGCTTTTTATCACGACCTCTCCGAGTAAGAGTTTTTGTTACTTGGATCACCTGCTGTAAATATGTTGTATTCATAACCTCATGGAGCCATGAGGAGTTTTCAAATATAAATAGTACCGATACATTTCTTGTTGTTGTCCTATTTTTGATTGTAGTATAGCGAATGACCTGTCATGCTTTTTGTTTCAAGGTTAGCATTAGATTCATAGATCTTAATATTTTAGCATTTCATTGTTTAAGCAGGAGAGGGCAGCAAAAGTTCATTTTTCCCCATAGGAATGCTCTGGTCCCATTACTGTTTTTAAACTTAGGTGCATATAACTATCTGTGGGTAGGGGGGAAAAACGAATCTTTTTTATATATATTGAAAGGTGCATATGAAAATATATAGAGTGGTCCAACCAGACTGTGAAAATGTCTTCTACTCTACATCCAAGTAATAATAAAAATATCTTCCACCTCTGGATAAAGTACAAGCAGGTCTTAAACTCTTGGATTCAAGTGTCATTCTTTGGAAACAGTTTACTTAAAAATGGTATCAAACTCGAACTCAATGGTGCTCCCAGCTATAAATGTGTTATCTTCCTCTTTTGCACATGCTCAAGAGGCTCTGTACTGTGGGTGCATCTAAATAAAGAAGCAATGAAGTGTTTTCCAGGTGCTTGGCTTTTTTTTCCACCTCCTCCCATCTAAACTTCACGAGCCTTTTCAACAGTGAGCTTGCAGCAATCAGGTTCCCATCCGCATGTGTCAAATGTAAAGACCCTTGTCTGGAGGAAAAAAAAACTCAAAAAACGAAGCAATGAGGTGGTAATTTAAGTTTCAGCCAGAATTACCATAGTAAACACTGGGTTTTCATTAAGTTAATTTTTTTCAGAGGTGCTGTGATGATGGTGAGTATCCTTGCACCTCACACAACCCCCCTGTGAGGGAGGTCAGGAGCCGTGGATGCAGGAGAGGCATTAAAGCCATGCAGTGTTCTTTGGGAGCCCTCTGAGCCTTGCACTTCGCAGCTGGTGAAAGAATTTGTTCCTTCGTGGTAGCATTCTGCTGTTTCAGTCCTTGTGCTGTTTGGAGGTGCAGGGAAAGGCTGGAGATGGTCCCACACGTGGGGGAAACCCTCTGGAGAGAGCCATGGGTAGAGCCTTGAAAGGGGCACTGCAGGTGAATGGCTTTAGCTGCAGTGTAGGAGAGCTGCTTGCTAAAATAAAATGAGAAAATATTTATTAAACATCCGATCTTTAAATACCGTGGTTTTTACATGTTATTCCAATAGTCTAATCCTTAATTCTTCCCATTTTTTTTCCCAACTTTAATTTTAATCAGTTGGATCTGGCCTTTGTTAGAAGAGCTCATTATCACAAATCTCTTTAAATACTTGTAAGACAATATTCAGATCACTTAACAACATTTCTCTCTACCTTCTTACTGCCAGGCAAGTATTTTCTGAAGAAGGTAAAAAGAAGAACATGCAGTAAGTTGGCCTCCAGGGTAGGATTTGTCTTCTAACTAGCAAGTTAGAAATCAACCTTTACAGGATTGGATTTAAAAACTTAAATTAGTTTCCTACTTTCAGTAATGATGATTGCTTTGCTAATTTTTCATCTTGGTCTTTCCTTCTCAGGGATGGTTTGGTTTCTCATACAGCAGCAGAATGTCTGGTTTATCTTACATTAAGTTTGGGCCTCAGATCAGAAGTGTGTAGCCTACAAAAGTCACTTTGTGTGCAGGTAAAGGCTGTTCCCAAGGCTGCATTAATTATTGCCTCAGTGTACTGTGAAGGAATAGCTTGGGAGATAAACTGGACACTGATACAGAGTCTCAAATTATGATCTGTGGTTTTAAAGATTAAACACTGGAGCTGAAGAAAATAGCCTGAATTTGTTAGTCAATACCTTGAAGCAGGTGTAGTAACCCACTGAGCCGTGAGCACAGGCTCTTCTGGGAGTTTCCATGACATGAAAAATGGTCATGCAAAACTTTATCTTGCACTATTTTTATGTTTGTTTGGTTTTGTTTCCCCCCTGTCCATCTTGTCTGTTATCCCCCCTTGGAGTCACTGAAGGTGTGAGAAGTCGGAGGTCACTCGGGAAGGATGGAAAGCTTGAGATGCATTTAAAGAAAAGTCTGATTTTCATACAGTGGTTCATACTTCAATACACACTTGAAAGTGTCTGGGAACTTAGCGTTATCCCTGGATCCGGGAAGAGCTTCCAAAAAGAGAATGAGAAAAGACAATTCTATACACCAACTGAATCTTGTCCAAATTCTTGCTTTGCAAGCTTTTCTTGTGTAAGAAGCCTCAGCACTTTCCTGACAGAGGAAGCAGTGACCCAGCAGTGAATATTCCTGGAGCCCCAGCTACAGCAGGAGCACACTGGGGCAGAATGGCTCTGGCAGCCAGGAAGAAAAGGCCTTGTGTTTGCACAAGGATTTGTGCAGCTCTCCAGCAGCAAAGGCAGAGGTTACCTGCAAACCTTCTGTGAACTGAGCTGGTTCGAGTCAGGTTTGAACCTTCGGCACACGTGGTTGAGCTGTGTGAGCAAACTGG